TAAGAGATAAATGAATTGAACTATGAAAAAGTTGATGAACTCTAAGTTCAAGTATAACCTAAGAATGTGGGGGGTTAAACTTAATGCTTGTGAACTTGAAATGGAAAGTTCAAAACTTGTGGATGCAACATTATTAGATTGCATATGTTTTCCTAATTGAGGAATTGTGGGGGTAACTCAATTTAACAGTTACATTTGCTTTTATCTTATAATTATAGAAAGATATCTATGAAGGTAAAAAGATAGAAAACCCTTATACTAATTATAAGGATGATATACACTAAGTCTAAAGTAGATTAAATGAGTAGAAGCCAATTGTAGCGGTTGTTTTGACATGCAAGAACAATTGGAATATATGAAAAATATTCATATAGTTCAAATGCATGGTAATGTTTCAATGATGATATTGAATACTCATGATTCTGAAATCCACTTATAAACATGGTTGACTAGTGTAATAATTAGATAGAAATCCTTCAATCTTGTTTGAAATTGACTAGCAACATTTGATAAGATATAAGTCACATGTAATGGTAGGTCTAGACGTATAAGTCATAGACATAATACCATTAAGTAGATGATCTTAGTAGTGTAAACTCGTGGTACTTTTAAGAGATTTATCGAGAGATTAAGTATACTGCATATCGAAAGGAATGAGATTGAAGCCTACTAAATTTAATCCTTATAATGGTAACCCTACCTTGTTGACTAGAGATTCCAAGATCTTGGTTCAAAGGTACAACTAAGTTATGAGAATTTCATGAAACACTAAGGAAAATAATTTCCTAACTCATTCCTACGACATTAAAGTGCTTTCTGTAGAGTTGCAAGAAATTAAGATAACCTTTTAATGATTCTTATATCTTGATTAAGTAAAGTGGAGTAGGGCATAATACTCTTCTTAGCAGGTCACTTATGTGAGCGTGAAGTGGGGCCACTTCGATGAGAATTATTTAAGGCTTAAATTCTCTAAACACTCGCAGAACTAAGAAGGGTTCAGGGCAAAAAAATGAACCAAGTCATGAGAATCATGAACGATTTTGGAAAGGCATCTGTGTGAGTATCATTATCTTGGCTTACACTAAATGCTGAATGGTTCAAGACATCACGTTCACCAATTAGTCGAGTAAGTCCGATGGTATTTCACTACGGGATGTTCAAGGCCAGAAGCTACTATTCCCGATGCAGTGGCTTTTCGCTCTCTCTCTACTTGCATCACATCATAGCATTACATTTGCATACTCGAATTTCATTCATGTGGGAGATTGTTGGAATTGGTTCAAAAATTAACCGAAAATTGGTTAAGTGTAAAACTGGAAAAATAAAAAGGTGTGACTTCGTGTCAACTTCGGTCGAATGTTCGGACTTGATTTGATGGTCAAATTACAAAAGTAAATAGACCAACTTATTCTACTTGTCGAGTAGATCGTCGTGGTATATTTGAAATCTTGAAACCAATTCCGGATGAATGAGAAATTGCGGTCCAAAGTTGGAAGAATGAAGTGTTGCAACTTTTCGAAATAATGTAGGTTTGAAATGAAGTGTTGCAACTTTTCATGAAAAATGCTGGATTTGGAGTGTGTCCCTTCACCCACAACCCTTCATCTTCTATATATAAGACCCATTGGATGTGTATTTGTCATTCCAATTCATTCCATAATTCCATATTATTCATTTCATGTTAAGTTACATAAAACACTTTGTAGAAGTGATTATCTTTTACATCAAAATCATTGTTATGGTAGAGAGGGAATTTTGTTTGAGTTCGTTGGTCGAAACCATTTGGAGTGCTCTTATGACTTGAGGTGGTCGTTGTATATTGGGAGATAATTGCTAGAAAATAGTTATCACCGATGCGGGGCAAATTCATTTTAAGGACCAAGTGTCAAACACTTGCCTCGACCAAAAATTTATCAGTTGCATCTTTCTTCATTCATTTTTTGATTTCTCTTAATTATGGTTTGATTTCAGAAATTGATTAACATTATTTACATATTTGTTTTGTCAGGTTTGATTCAAAGAATAACTTGCTTTCGTTCAAGAATCGAAAGAGATGAATCCATATTCATGCATTCGGATTCGGTAACTATTATTGTTTTGCTTTTCAAATTCTATTTCAGTAAGTCGAAATTACGTTTCGATTTCAGACAAATAAATGGTATGCTTTTGTGAATATAATATGCACATAATCGGTGTATTCCCCAACAAATTTCGCCCGCCGCACTGATGCGAACTGAATAATTGGACGTATATCTCTCAAGATATAATGCTCCTTCCAGAGTAGGTACTGTACAATATTAATCTTGTTGATCTAACGAAAGTGTTTTTCTTCTTACACAGAATATACACAAATTGAAATACTCTTAACGAAATTTTATTTCTAAAAATAATACAAAAAAATCTTATTTCAACAAAATAAAAAGAACAGAATTTCAAAGAGAGAAGAGAATTAGAAATCAATTACAACTTGAATTTATTTGGTGTCGGAAATATGGAACTAGAGGTCCCATTTATAGATTTTCAAGCGACTTTTCAAATGATTCTATCTTTAGACATAGATCACACATTTTCACATTAAAGGCCTGTTTGAGCCACATTATTTTCAAAAAAATACATTTTTAAATAGTGATTTGATATTATTTCAAACACACATTATTCAATAAAATAATATTACACGCAGATCAAAAACTTTTTCTTATTTTTTAACCACACATTTCCCATCAATACACTATTCAAGAATACATTACTACCAAAATAATGTGACTCAAATATCCCCTAAATTTCGTAAATTGCACTTTATCAAAAAGTTACTTTTTTAAATAGTCATACCCATTAAAAATATCATGACTGTATGCACCTATAAATCTTTAGAGAATGTCACGTATTTCAAAGTTGAGAATTTGTTCCAAACAACAAAAGTAAACCAAAAATCAGAAGAAATTTGAAATACTGGCAGTGCACCTTGAAAAATCCCCTAGATACCTAGGGAATTGTGTGACGTCCCCTAATCCAAGGAATTGTTCGAGAGGCTTTATTCTTGAAATACTGGCAAATGCATTGTTTAATGGGCTCACGCATACTCCAATGAGGGCTAACTCCAGTTTGTTTCCTTCTCCATCAACTCGACTATGCATTTACAAAATTTTGGCACGCAGAGTACATTGAGTATAAGAAAAATAAGTTAAAATCTAATTTAATTTTACTTGTCCAAAATTATATACACCAAACATGGCCCAAAATGTAATCCTCCCAAGATATTTTGATTTCCGCCGTTCCAGTCTGACACAAATGGAAAAATAGATCTCTCACTGGGATTCACACAGCATACATTCTACAATTTGAATAAATTTAAATGAAATTCCATTTCATACCCTTTTTATGCCCATTTTTAATATTTTATTAGCCAAATCTCTCACACTTTCAATTCCCCAGACGAATCAAGACAAAGGCAAAACCAATGGCTCTGACACACGCCAATTCCCTTCACCGCCCCGCCACCACCACCGCCGCCGTGACAAAATCTTCATATCTCATTATACCCACCTCAATTTCTCCTTACCACACCACTTCCACAAGAATCAAACCCAAATCCAAGCCCATCTCCGCCGTTAAATCCTCCAATCCGTCACCCACCACCATCACTCCGCCACCGAAAAGATGGACTCTTGACAGCTGGAAATCGAAAACGGCTTTTCAGCTCCCTGAATACCCTGATAAAGATGTCCTTGAAACTGTCATCCAGACTCTTGAATCCTTCCCTCCTGTTGTGTTCGCCGGTGAGGCTCGCAGCCTTGAGGAAAGGCTTGGCCAGGCCGCGCTGGGCAATGCTTTCCTCCTGCAGGGCGGTGATTGTGCCGAAAGTTTCAAGGAATTCAATGCTGTAAACATTAGGGATACTTTCAGAGTCCTCTTGCAGATGGGCGTTGTCCTCATGTTTGGTGGCCAAATGCCTATTATAAAGGTCTCACATTTCTTATTTTCCCCCTCAATATTCCGATTTAAATCTAAAACTGCATTGATTAAAAGAATTAATTGTTTGTGAATGGATTATGTTTATGGGGGTGATCAGGTTTGAACTTTGCTTCAATACAATCGATTATAATTTATCATCCAGAAGTGTTTATACATAATTGAAAGTGAAAGTAGAGTTCTGCGTAAGTCTCTGATTTTTCAATTCTATATCATAAGTTGGTTCAGATGATAATTTGGGCTTCTTTTTGTGCAAATTAATTTCATATTTTGATTGGTTGAGATTTAGGATGTTATTTATCAGTGAAGAAGCTTCTGATTCTTTCTGCATGCTTTCTGAAGAATGAGGAATTTGACATGGATGATGCAAGACCAAGTAATGATATGTGGGAAATTGCATAAAACTGTGGTCGTACACATTCATTTCAATTCACTGGTGTTTGAGATTTTGACGAGATGATCAATGCTATTAGCTTAGCGCTTGCACCTTTGCAGGCTTAACCACCCTAGCTCCCCAAAAACACAAAGGAAAGAAAAAGAAAAAGTGTTATTACTTTGCATTTTTTATTATTGCCTCGTGTGCTGAACTTTCTTTGATTTGTCTCACTCATAGGTACTGAAAACTTTGTACAATGCAGTATTGGTGCTTTTTTGATTGTTGTGAAGATGATGTCTGTTAAGAGAAATTCTCTCATTTACTGATAATTCATATTCAATATTGGATATCATGAGCTTTTTGCATCTATTGATCATTTTAGTGCCCTTTCTCTATCATGGAGGTCTGCCTTTCTCTATTAATGGAGGTCTGTGCATATGAGAAAAATGTTTGCCTTTCTGGAATTTTTGTTCTGAACTGCTTTCTAAAGGACAGAAGTAAAAGGATCAGAATACTAGAAAGTTAGGGTATAAATAGAATTATGTACCATGTAAGGTAGCTGATTAGGACATTTTTGTTTCTTGCGATTATGTTACACAATACTTCTCTTAAACAAGTTTTACGGACAACGATGGACACTAGAGATTATACTGGACATGGATTTGCAACTATAAAATTTGTATCTAAGTAACTGTCATAGATGACTGAATGCTGGAATATACTTGTAGCTGTGGTAGGTGGATAGTGATTTAAAATCCAGTGTGGGACTTTTATGGAATGGTGTTTCTGCAAGTTCTATAGCCATTGATTTGCTGTTTTTGTTCTCACACTTATTGGCTAAGCCAACTGTATGAATTGTGAGAGTGGGAATTCACTGATTATTGTTGAGTATATTGTTTAGGTGGGAAGAATGGCTGGTCAGTTTGCTAAGCCAAGATCCGATCAATTTGAAGAGAAGGATGGCGTGAAGCTGCCAAGTTACCGGGGCGACAATGTGAATGGGGATGCTTTTGATGAGAAATCACGAATCCCTGACCCCCATAGAATGATTAGGGCCTATACCCAATCTGTGGCTACATTGAACCTGCTCAGAGCATTTGCTACTGGAGGGTATGCTGCCATGCAGAGGGTTACCCAGTGGAATCTTGATTTCACTGAGCACAGTGAGCAGGGGGATAAGTATATCATCTACTTTAATTTTTTTCAAACTATTTGTTATTCATTTAGTTCTCATTTTAACTTTGAGGGATAAAATGTTTATGATTAATATGTCCAAAAAGGTATAACGAACTGGCTCACCGAGTTGACGAGGCCCTCGGCTTCATGGATGCTTGTGGTCTAACGGCTGACCACCCTGTGATGACCACTACTGAGTTCTGGACATCTCATGAGTGTTTGCTTTTACCTTATGAGCAAGCACTAACAAGGGAAGACTCGACTACTGGCCTTTATTATGATTGCTCTGCTCACATGCTTTGGGTTGGTGAACGCACAAGGCAATTAGATGGTGCCCATGTAGAGTTTCTAAGCGGAGTTGCCAACCCCCTGGGAATCAAGGTTGCTAGACTAAAACCTTTTAAATGACTCATGAAATGCTCTTTTAGTCAATTATTCACAGTCTCTTGCTTGCCTAAAAGAGATCTTGTAAATCAATGCTATCTTGTAGACGTACTGAATAAAAAATATATAGCTTGTTAAGTGCTTGTAAGTTGTGGGTCCTAAGAGTGTGTGGATAAAAGTATGTTTGACATGCGTAGAAAAAAGTTAAGCTTTGCCTATAATGCACCAAGTCTTTGAACGTGTTTGGCTAAGTTACTTTTTTCTCATCTTTAAGTAAACAATGTGTTTTCAAAAGTAACTCTTACCTAAGTAACTTATTTCATATTTTGGTCAATAATTTACTTATTTTATAAGAAACTTATTTACTTGTAGATGAAAGCTCTTAAGCTTAGCCGAAGTGCTCTGTGTTGAGACAAAAAAGCAATAGCATGGTTGTATATGTTCCTTACTGAGGTTGATTACTTGGTTTTGGATGCAGGTGAGCGATAAGATGGATCCGAATGAGCTAGTAAAGCTTATTGACATTCTGAATCCTCAAAATAAACCTGGAAGAATAACCGTGATCACCAGAATGGGAGCTGAGAACATGAGAGTGAAGCTTCCACATCTGATTAGGGCGGTTCGTGGAGCAGGCCAAATTGTCACTTGGGTCAGTGATCCCATGCATGGGAACACTATTAAGGCTCCTTGTGGACTCAAGACGCGTTCCTTTGATGCAATCAGGGTATATTGCTATTTTACTTTATACCATGCACCCTAATGATGATATAACTTGTTTTCTTCTGCCTAAAGATACGATCCTTGAGTTTCTTTGACAATTCTGCATTTGGCACATGCAGGGATTCTTTGAAATACATTTAGTTCGGTAATCTATTGTTTTAAATATGTCTAGTTTACTTATGGTCACAAATCGATCTTATGATGTTCTTCAACCCGACCAAGACAAACCCTTAAGATTCTTGTTAAATTTAAATGATAATACTGATCAGGAGAAAAAGGGGGGAACCCAACATCGAGGTTACCATAATATTTGCTCCTTAAATTTTGAAATATCCTATATTGGAAACCCAATTTAATTGTTAAATTGTTTATTTCTAGGATTTCTCAGACTGAAGACGTGTTTGTCAAAGCTTAAAAAGTTTTTTTATACAAATTTGTCAGTTTTAAAATAAACAATTTCTTTATAGGCCAAAGTTGAAAATAAGTTGTTTATTTCGATAGTGTGGGATGCAAACTTTCTAAGCGTGTTCATTTTATTTAATTTTTTTTTTTTCTCACTAGAAGTTTCATACATGTTTAGAAACTAATAGTTACTTCTACTTTTTCTTAAGCTTTGTCAAACGTCCCCTAAATAGAAGTAATGAGGAATTGTGATCAATTGGGTGCATGTCTATACAGGCTGAGCTGAGAGCATTCTTTGATGTACATGATCAAGAAGGAAGCTACCCAGGAGGGGTGCATCTAGAGATGACAGGGCAGAATGTTACAGAGTGTGTTGGAGGCTCTCGAACGATAACTTACAACGATCTCAGTTCACGCTATCATACTCATTGTGATCCGAGGCTTAATGCTTCTCAGTCTTTGGAGCTTGCGTTTAATATTGCAGAGCGGCTTCGTAAGAGAAGGCTTGGATCACAACACACTCTTTCTTCTCTCAAGCTTTACAAGGCATAATCTTTAGCCGTTAGCATGGATTTCTGCACCAAGTTTTTATGTTTAGTTTTTTGCTCTGTATTATGAGATCTAAAGGTAATATGCTATAAGAAAAAGTCTGGCCACTAGCATATAAGTAATTTTGGTTTATCCTCAAGTAGTGAGTATATGATATGCATTGTTACTTTGCTGTATTTTGGTATATTCCTTTGTCAGATATGGTTGGTTAATGGTTACATAACTCTTGTTATGGTTTTAGTTGCTTCAAGTTGATTCCTGTGCAAAATAGTCATTATTTCGTGTCGGAGGACACATCTAACCCCCAGAATTGTAGCATACAAGGTTCTGATTCGTGACGATCAACCATATAACATGCTGGACCGAATGCATTCGACTGGATCACGAAAGAAAAGAAGATAAAATCTCATAGCAGTATTGGGCAGCACTGCTGTAAAACAAACATAATCTCAAGTGAATGAAGTGGTTATATGTTTAGAATAGGAGTGGTCACTCTCTTTGATGTTGCTTTAGCAGTGATGAACTTAGATTTGGATTAATTTGGTGAAATTTGCGACCTCTCGTACATTTGTACTGGTTTCTCAGTGGTGTGATTCTCAACCAATGATGTGAACGTGTGATTTGATTATTATCTAATGAATGATCATTAAAACCTTAATTTCACTAGAAGTTACAATCCTGTATATATGGTGTTTCTTTATACCGTTGATAAGAGCAAGAAGTTCTGGTTGATTAGCTACATTTAACAAATCTTGATTATAAGTACTATGTGCTGTGAATGGTTGCTCAAAACCAACAATAAAAATAAAATAAAATAAAATAATAATAAAATAAATTTGGTCCATGCGATCGCATGGTACAATATTTCGACGTTTTTTGGCCCTTTTAGGCCATTACAAATTCGAAATTGATGGCTTTTCACTTGATTTTTTGGAGCCATTTCGTACTTCCAGTCGATGGCTTATATAGGAGAGCCATGTTTGAGGGAATGATGTTAGAAAAACATCTTGTAATCCATACTTTGTTCTAAGAACAATCAAATCCCTGTTTACATTCATATCTTCGTGTTTTTCAAGTTTTGGAAAATTACATCTTGTGCTTTGGTAAAATTCTTTACCAGGCTTATTGCAATTCTTCAAATCATTCATCGGAATACCTTTAAGCATCTTGAAAACACCGGAGAAGGGGCAAATAATGTTTGAGGACAGCGATCTCGTGTTCGAGCCTTCGAATTTGTTCTTGGCAATTTTCTAATTTTATTTCATCTTGTTGCCATATTTCTTTCATCTATTCTTCATCACTTCCATATTTCCAAAAATCTCAAACGTTAATTCTGCGATGGAAAGTGAGATAACGATGGCGATAATCAAACTCATGAATCAAGACATGGTGCAGTTGGATCGGTTCAATGGAACAAACTAAACTCAATGGAAAGACAAATTGAAGTTTCTTCTCACTGCAGTGAAGATCTTCTACATCCTAGATCCGAATCTTGCACCACTACCAGAACCAACGAATGGAGAAATTGAAACGGTGAGAAATGAAAGACAAAAGCGCCAAGAAGATGAGTTAATATGCCACGGTCACATTCTCAACGCATTATCGGATCGCTTGTATGACTTACATACAAACACAATTTCGACAAAGGAAATTTGGGATGCGCTCGAAAGTAAGTACAAAGCGGAAGAAGAAGGTACAAAGAAATTTTTAATTTCTAAAGTACTTCGATTTTAAATTTTTAGAGAATATTCTCCTTCTTCCCACATACATGAAATGCAGGTAATTGTCAATAAGTTGAAGGCGGTGAAAATTGAAATACCGGAGACCTTATAATTGCCAAACTTCCTTGAACTTGGAAAGGATACCGGAAGAAGATAATGCACAGTTCCGAAGATTATTCTTTGGAATAATTGTAAAAACATCTTCAGATTGCAGAAGAGTCGAGAATGCGTGATAAAAGTGATTCTCATGAGGGCACTTCCAAGCAAATGCTGTAAAAAATTTCGAATCGCCAACAAAATCCAACAAAAGAAAGCCCTAGAAGAACCTTAATAAGTTTAAGAAGAAGACCAACGGAGGATACTTTGTTTGTGGGAAATCTGGACACTACGCAAAAGATTGTAGACACGGGAAACACAACAACTCTGAAGGTAAAGTGAATTCTATCCAAGAAGGCAAGATTGTGGCCACTGTGAGTGAAATAAATGCAATTAAGGAAAAAGTTCTCGGCTGGTGGTATGATACTTGTGTCACGGTGCATGTATCATATGACAAATCTTTGTTCAAAATATAAAATGAAGTGGATGGAGACCAAGAGATCCAAATGGGTAACGAGATGCGGTCCAAAGTAATTGAAAAATGAAGTATAGAAATTATCTTCACTTCTGGGAAAAATGTTACTTTCACAAATGTATTATATGTTCCAGATATGAATATGAACTTAGTGAGTGGAAATCTTTTGGGAAAATCGGGCATTAAAAGTGTTTTTGAATCCGGTAAATTTGTATTATCAATAAACGGAAAATTTGTTGGAAAGGACTATTCATGTGAAGGAATGATCAAATTTTGTACTATTGACAATGAAATAAATAAAGTTGATTTCGCTTAATGATTGATTTATTTTCTTTATGGCATGTTAGATTAGGTCACATAGGTAAAAGTACAATGAAAAGCATGAGAAATTGTGACTTAATTACATATGATGGAAATAATGACATTAAATGTAAAACATGTGTAGAAGTAAAAATGGTTAAAAAAACCTTATTAAAGTGTTAAGAGGACTACTAGCATATTAGAATTAATTCATTCCGATATATGTGAATTGAATGGCATGCTAACAAGATATGGAAATAGATATTTCAAAACATTTATTGATGATTTATCAAGATATACCTATGTTTATTTGATGAAACATAAACATGAAGCCTTTAATTTGTTTAAGACTTATAAGAATAAAGTTGAAAATCACTTAAATAAGAAAATAAAGACCCTAAGAAGTGATAAAGGTAGTTAATACTTTTCTAGTGAATTTAATTATATTATGAACAATATGACATAATTCACCAATGTTTTGCACCTAGGATACCAGAACAAAACAATTTGGCTGAAAGAAAAAATAAAACCTTAGTAGAAATGATAAATACAATGCTTATATATGCTAAGTTGTTGTTTAATTTATGGGGTGAAGTTTTATTAAGTGCATGTAGGATACTTAATAGGATTCCTTCTAAACATACAAAGTTTTCTTCTTATGAATTGTGGAAAGAAAAAAAATCGAGCATTGGATAATTCAAAGTATGAGGTGTCTTACTTATTGCAAGAACAAAAATCCTAATAGGATCAAATTGGGTCCAAGAGACATTAAATGTTCTTTTGTTGGATATGATAATAATAGCAAATCTTATAGATTGCTAAACTTGGAGACCAATGTAATTATTGAATTAAGTAATGTAGAGTTCTTTGAAGATATGTTATCATCGAATAATGAATTGAGGGAAGATATTGAAAATATCTCAAGCTCAAGTGGAACACGTGATGACATGTCTTCTAAAGATATTGATGAGTTTAGTGAACCACGAAGAAGCAAGATAACTCGAGTTGAGAAATCTTTGGGACCGGATGAAATTGATTATGAACTTATATCATTTTACTTAGTAGAAGGAAATAAGTTGAATGTTGTAAGAACTATTCCTTTTGTTCTACAAGTGGAAATCGACCTTAAAATATATAAAAAAGCTATGGCTTCTTGTGATTGCATTTCTAGAAAAATGCAATTAAAGATGAAATGTATTCGATAATATTTAACAAAATTTGGGAACTTGTCGATTTACCACAATGATTCAAACCTATTGGATGTAAATGAGTCTTTGGGAGGAAATATAATGTTGATGGCTTTCTAAATACTTTCAAGGCTAGATTAGTAATTAAAGGATATCGAAAAAAAGGAAGGAATCGACTATTTTGACACTTATGCACCAATAGCTAGAATAACATCGATTAGGATATTATTCGCATTGGCTTCAATATATGACTTACATGTTCATCAAATGGATGTCAAGACGGCATTTTTGAATGGGGATCTCGATGAAGAGGTCTATATGGAGAACTCGAAGGGTTCGTTCTACTTGAAAATGAACATAAGGTATGTAAGATAGTAAAATCTTTATATGATTTGAAGCAGGTATCTAAGAAATGGCATGAGAAGTTTGACTTAGCTATAACATCATTCAGATTTAAACATAATAACGTAGATAGATATTTATATTCTAAAGTGTATGATGATTATGTGACATGTAAATGTTTATATGTTGACGACATGTTGATTATGAGTAATCACATGGATGGTATAGAAGAAACAAAAATGTTTATATCTTCCACATTTAAAATGAAAAATCTTGGTCAAGTAGATACCATTTTAGATATCAAAGTCACAAAGATTAGTGGGGGTTATCACCTAAGTCAATCACATTATATTGAGAATGTGATAAATAAGTTCAAACACTTGAACATAAAAGAATATAGTACCCCGATTGATCTAAGTTCAAAACTTGTAAAAAATGATGGAAGGGCGATTGCTCAACTTGAATATGCTAGTACTATAGGAAGTCTCATGTATGCAGTTCAATGCACAAGACCGGATATAGCTTATGCAATAAGTAAACTTAGTAGGTTTACTAGTAATCCAAATAATAAACATTGGAAGGACATTGAGAGAGTTCTTGGATACTTAAAGAAAATTAAGAACTTAGGCCTTCAATATGCCAAGTTCTTGACGGTATTAGAAGGATTTACCGATACTAGTTGGATATCTAGCACGGATGAAAGTAAATCCACCCCAAGTTGGGTGTTCACTCTAGGAGGAAGTGAAGCTTCTTGGAAATCAAATAAACAAACATGCATAACACACTCGACTATGGAATTAGAATTCGTAGCTCTATCGGATATCGGGAAAGAGGCGGAGTGGCTAAAAGATCTCTTTTACGAGATACCTTTGGGATCGAAGAATATTTCTTTAATATCTATCATGTGTGATAGTCAAGCCACATTAGCAAAAGCATATAATGAGGTATGTAACGGAAAGTCCAGACACATGAGTTTTAGACATGACTATATAAGGAAATTAATTAAGGATGGAATAATTTTCCTAAACTATGTAAGGTTAATTAAGAATTTGGCGGATCCTTTGACTAAACCTCTAAATAGAGATTTAGTAGCATCTACTTCGAGTAGGATGAAGTTGA